GGGTGCCGCCATCCCGGCTCCAGCACAGCAGAGAGAGGGTGGCACTGCCAGCTCAGGGCACAGCGGGCTCAGCCCGCCTGGCCCCAGTGCTTGGCCTCTGTAGGTCAGGTCCCCTCTGTGGTGCGTGGTGGCCCAATGGCAGAACGTCCCTTTTCTGTCCCAGGGGACCCCCAGGTGCCGGTGCTGTACGAGGTGGAGCGGACCCGTACAGGGAAGAGCTTCTCTGTTCGTTCTGTAAAGGCCATCCAGCATGGAAAGCCGATCTTCATCTGCCAGGCCTCCTTCCAGCTCTCCCAGGGGAGCCCAGTGCAGCACCAGTTCACCATGCCTGCCGTGCCGCCCCCTGAGGAGCTGCTGACGCAAGAGGAGCTCATCCAGAAGTTCCTGCAGTGAGTGGGGTGGAAGGGGCACGCCGGGGATGCCCTTCTCTGCGGCTGGGGCTTAGGGAGGCGCAGGGATTGGGGCGACTGCCTGAGGAGTTCCCAAATATGCCTGGGAGGGGAGTAGAGAAGCAGGACAGGACAGGGCAGGAGCCGTGCCCCTCCTGCCTTTCTGTGTGGCCCTGGGTCCCTGGGCTGAAGCCGCTGCCAGCAGGACGTGCCCCTGGCCTGCCCGGAATTAACCTCACTTCTCCGCGTTGGTCTACAGGAATCCTAACTTGGCGGAGAGGTACAGAAAGCATCTCAACAAGATTCAAGCCGAAGATGTGCCGATTGATATCAAACCCGTGAACCCGCCAGATATATTCTGCTCGGAGCTGCAGGAGCCAAAGCAGCTCTTCTGGGTGCGAGCACGAGGCTACATAGGTGGGTCCTGCTGGGAGGGTGGTCCAGCTGCCTCACGAGCCGAGGGCTCGGGCTCAAGCTCGCGCTGTGGAGCATCCTCGTGATGGAGTGGGCCGAGAGGGTTGTGATTCAGAGGCTGTCTGCACCCTAAGCCTGCGGGGAAGCCTGGGGATTTCAAGGCTGGAATAGGGGCGTGGGTGCCTGAGCATGAAGCGATGCCTGTGTGCCGTGCTCGGCCACGGCGGGCTTTCCCCAGGGGGCACGGCCAGGGGAGCGGGTCTGACAGAGCATCTCGGCTCTGCTTGGCCAGCAGCTGAGCCTCGGGGAAGCAGAGCTCCTGGGGCTCTGCCTCGCGCTACGTGCCCATGCTTGTCCCATGGCCACCCCGCGGGGGACGGGCAGCGCCGGTTCCTTTGCAGGAGAGACTGACATGAAGGTGCACTGCTGTGTGGCTGCCTACATCTCCGACTACGCCTTCCTGGGCACGGCCCTGCTCCCGCACCGGCAGTACCGCATCAAGTTCATGGTGTCCCTCGACCATTCCATGTGGTTCCACGCGCCCTTCCGAGCGGACCACTGGATGCTGTACGAGTGCGAGAGCCCCTGGGCTGGTGAGTCCTCACCGCATTCCCTGGGACCCACGCGGCAAAGGCCAGCCCTGCCCGTGCCGGGGGGCGGCGGGCCGCGGTCTGACAGGCGCTCTCTGCAGGCGGGTGCCGGGGACTGGTGCAGGGACGGCTGTGGCGCAGGGACGGGGTCCTGGCGGTCACCTGCGCGCAGGAAGGAGTCATCAGGGTGGAGCAAACGCCAAACCAGAGCAAGCTCTAGCTGAGGAATTCCCGCGGGCTGGGGCTCAGGCACGCCGAGGGAGGGATCCCAGGACCAAAACAGATGCGCGGCCTGGGTGGCAGCGGGAAGGAGCCTTGAAGGAGACTGGGCTGGATCCAGCACTGCGGAGAATGCTGGTGCCAGAGGCCCTCTGCGACGGGTGGGGACCTGCAGAGGCATCCCCTGTGACTTGCTGCCAGCTGCATAGCACGTAACCGCACACTACGATCGGCCACCCTTCACCTGCCTTAAATAAAGCCGTCATGTGAACAGCTGGGCTCCGTCCCCTGGAGTTTGTCCCCTTGGCCCCCGTGATTGTGCTTGCCCGAGGCAGGGGGAGGGCGGGCAGCGCCGGGGGCACTGGGGGCCGGCTCTGACCCCGCAGCAGGCTGGGTCGCAGGAGGGGAAAGTGCTACTACGGCACATGTAGCTTCCCCTTCTCACTTCTCCTGCCCTCCTCGTGCCCCTGGTGCATCAGTCGCTGCTTCTGCTTGCCCTCGGTCTCCTCCCCAGGGCCGGGCTCGGGCTCGGGCCCAGCCGCTGGGAGCCTGGGGAAAGGGGACGAGTCAGCTCCCACCTCGGTGTGGGGGGCTTGAGGCTTCCCGCTGATGGTGCCCTGGGGGAAGCGAAGCTGAACAGACACAGAAGGCGCCTTGCTCTTCTTCCTACCAAGACTTTATTAAATAAAGTCCTTTTTATTATATAAGTTTTATGGGAAGCTCCTGGCAAGAGCCCCAGACCCCGCCAGAAGCCTTCCTGTTCCCTTACGCAGTGCCAGTATGTCCCACCTAAAGTCCCGTCCGCTCTAGAAGCCCCCCGCAGAGGGAGAGCCGGCTCCCGGCAGTGCCGGTGTGGGTGGCGAGCGCCCGCGAGCACCCGCGAGCACCCGGCCCCGTGGGACGGACTAACCACAGAGAAAGTGCATTTTTGAGGCAGCTCCCGGGCGTGGGCCGTGCTGCCCGCCGGAGCGCAGCGCTGCCTCCCT